GATATCTCCCCATAATGTTTGTGTATGCGTGTACGTGCGTGTATGTCCATGTGTGTGTGTGTACGTGTGTGTGTATGTGTGTGTGTATGCGTGTGCGTGCGTGTCCATCTGTGTGTGTACGTGTATGTATATATGTGTGTATGCGTGTGCGTGCGTGTATGTCCGTGTGTGTGTACGTGTGTGTGTGTATGTGTGCGTGTGTGTGTGTGTGTGTATGTATGTGTGTGTGTGTGTGTGCATATGCAAGTGCGTGTACGTGATAAAGAAATCGGAAAACGGTAAAAACTTATGAGATGTCATAATAAGATCGCTAGGAAAAGGGAAATTTTCATACTTTTATACATTATTATTGTATGAAGTACAAATGAATTGAAATGAAAAGGAAAAAAAAGTTAATAATTAAAATTACTCATTAAAGAAATATAAATTTATAATTGCATTGATGTATTTGTTTTGGTTAGTGATTTACGTTGTACAATGCCAGCAGTATCAACGTGAACCACAGATGATGAAGTAAGATGTAATTCGGTAATACATTTTGCCAATGATATAGCGTCAGTAGCAATCTCTTCATCTGTCTCATTTTCAACTTTACCATCATCCTCATTTTTAATGAAATAACCATATATCTTGAAATTAAAATTTTCAATTTTAATTTTAAGAATTAATTCTTTTGGTAAAAAAAAAGCAAATATTTAGATGTATTTTAAATAACGAGGAGCACATATAGATTTGTTTCTTTTTTTTTTTTTTGAAAAATAGTTATCCTGTTAATTAATTGGAATTGGAACATATTCTATAATATTTTACAATGTTGGGAGCAAGAGAATGTTATAATAAGCTAATTGTGAATACTTCATTTAATCCTTTCATACATTTTTCATTTTTTTTCCGTATCTTTTAATAATTAAATCTTTGTATTATATATAATTATCGGCAATTAAAATTGTTGAAATACTGTAGTACTTGCTTTTTCATAAGGTAGTATTTTAAGGACACGACGAACTTCGCGAATAAAATCGCCAATCGTACCCTGCTTATCGTAAATTAAAATTCCTTCCGCTTCTTCGTCACTATCGGCCATTACGCGTATTGCCATCTGCCTTGATGCGAAATCGAATTCGGACGAAAAGTCTATAAACTGAAAAAAAAAAGTCGAACGTTCTCCCTGAAATTAAAATTAATAAATTTGATCAAATTTATCATTTGAAGAATTTATTGATGATTAAATTTTATATTATTCTTTAAATGTAAATAATTCTAAATGGATATCATTCATTTTCTTTTGGATCATCGAATTAAGAATGAAATGATAATAGCAATTATTGTTGGTGGAAGAATCAGTTTGAAATCATTGCGATGATTTATTTCATCTTTCTTCTTTAAAACTGTTAAAATAGTTAATTTAAACAAATCATTTAATGATACATAATTTTAATAAATCAAATTTATTGTATGAATTTAGCAAAAAAAAAGAAAAACTTAGGAATGGATACTGTCACAGATTCATCTTTGCAAAACAAATCTGTTTTTTGTTCATTCAAATCAAATCGTTGAAAGAATTCAGCTTTTTGTGGAAAAAGTGTACGTAATGCATTGACTGATTCAATCGTATAATATTGATGACATGATGGTTGAGGACACATTGGAGCTATTCCTGTAAAATGAATCTAACAATGAATTTAACGGATAACTTTTTTCCATAATTTGAATTTTTTTTGTAATTTAAATTACAATCAAGTTAATTAGGGGAATGATAAAGAAAGTTGACGAAAAAATTGAACCGAAAACTTTTGAAATTAAATTCAATAATTAAATTAATACAAATTTATTTTATAAATTAATATTATGCACAAAATATATCAATATTAATCTTTTACTACAACTGTAGGATCATCAGGAATAACGAAAATCGGTTACCGTTTGCTTCGCAATCGGCAATCATATCAGTAAGACATTCAATGCATACATCATGGCTACATTCTGAATTCGATGGAAAGCCGTTAAGTGCTATACGTTCACAATTATCTTTCACTTTACATTTCACTTGTACCTAAATAGTTATGTATATTAAATACGTAACTTCAGCATAGTGTTGACGTTAGTTACGTTGAAGCATATTTACACGTATGAGGCGTAACTAACATATATATTAAAGAGTATCTAAAATTGTTTATAAGTAAAGAATTTCACGCCTCTTCATTTTCCATTTTCTTCTTTTTTGACAAACATTTTCCATCAGCACACATCAGTGTTTCTTCTGTAAAAAAAAAAAAAAACAAAGAAAAAGAAAAAGAAAGAATATTTCTTCTTTAATTTTCTTTTTAAAATAATTTATAAAAAAAGGTTTTAACGGAAACTTTAGTAAAATTCATTGTAAGCAGTTTTTTTTCCTTTGAAAAATGGCAATATTAAAGAAATTTTTATCAGTTACATATTGTTGAGAGTTTTATATAAATTAAAAAGAAATTCTCTCTTCTGTTACATCAATTAATGTTAATAATTAACCAGTACATTTTATCAAAATTACTCTCAAAAATCTTTTCAAAATTAATATCAATATCTTCATATTTTTTTCCCAATAAATTTTGTTAATGGTACTATGTTTATTTGACAAAAATTGGAACTATTTCTTATTTATATGATTATTTAAATTAATCTTAAATTAAATAAATTACTTGAATGGATTAGAAATGGTCATATTTCTGAAATGATGATCATATTGTTATGTCATCAAAAATTATGCATTAAAATGATCGAGTTAAATGACTTTAAATTTTTGATATATTTTAATTAATATACAATATTTACTTACTGTTTAATAAATTCATCTTTATTCGATTATCAACACATTGCTCACAAAGATGACATTTGCAACAATTGGTAGCAATCAGTACCTTTGGATCAGTTGTTTGTTTACCACAATTATCACAAAAGTATGTATCTTCCACTTCAACAATACCTCGATTGCAATTTTCAACGATACAAGCTACAATAATAACGATTATAATTTATAAAGCTTCAATTTGATATTTAAAATTACATTCCAGATTTTTAAATTTTACGAAAGATAAGCCAAATAAAAGTTCGAAACAAGAAAAACCTGACCAGGTGGTTGTCGTTGTAGAGATTCTTCGAGACATGCGGTACAAAGTTCATGTTGGCATGCATTTAAACGAGCAGATTCAAATTGTGATAATTTTCTGAAAGCACACAAAAAATATTAGATATAAAAAAGTATTTAGTATGAAAATAATTAGTATGAAATTACTTCCATTCTCATACAAATATTTTACTGTAAAATAAATAATTGAATGGATAATTTTAGGATAATTATTGTTACAAATATAATTAATAATTGAATAATAACGAAGGAAACCTGAATGAAATGATATGACAAATAGAGTTAACAATTTTTCATCAAATATTCTAAAGCTTTCTGAATTCTATTTCTATTATTAAAATAAAATGATTATAATATTGATTGTCTTTACAAACATTTATTCTTTCGTCGTTTTTTTTTTTTTTTTTCTGCATTATTTTCTTTTTACGCTTTAATTAATTTTTCCTGTTCAAAAAAATGAGTCTGTTTTTTTTTCCTAGTGGAGTTAAAATTATTGAAATGAAGACAAAAAAAAAAAAAACAAGTCATACTTTGGACACAACATATTATCACAATAATTTATAGTAAGTGGAAGAGAATCTGTTAGAGTGCCACGAATTTGTGAATAGCAATTTGCTGCTGGACAAGTCTAAATGAATGACAAATGCAAAATGACCTTTAGCGCCTTATTTATTGATAATTTTTCATTCCCATAATAATGAAAGTTTGTTTGCTTCCATTATTTCTTTTTAATCTATCAATTAATTCATTGATAATTACTTATTAGCATTAATTATATTAATTGTAGCTATACTCAAATGAAGCTAATAATTAATTCTATGTATACCATTACATCTGTAGAAATTTGTTTACGCTTTCTATCGCTATTTGCTTGATTAGTCTGAAATAAATCATTTTGCTAATATTAAAGATAACATTCGATTAGATTCGAAAAAAAAAAAAAAGTTTAAATATTTTCTTTCATTTGGCGCACTTTCCCAAAAGCACATTGAATTTGTGCGCTTTGCGCTAAATTGAAATCACAGCAGATTGTAACAGACAAATCTCTAAGGTTTATCAGACAATAAATTCTCGTTAACACAACAAATATCAGTTAAATTAAGATGAAGTATTAATGAAACTTAGTAGTAATTAGAGGTGCTATGAGAATACTCGTGAAGTAATTCTCACCGATCAAGTAAAAGTTTTTCGAAAGTTTTAAATTTAATGAAATTAATAAATTATGGAAGCAAATTGTAAACCGTTTGGTAAGATGTTAGGATAGAGATACATCCTCGACAAAATAAATGAAAACACGGAAATATTTGTTGCATTTCCGTAAATTGATACATTTTTGAACATATCCGGCATTTCACTCTTAGCGTGTCATCCTCACTTGACATTCTTTCACACTTCAACAATGGTCACTTTGAATGAATGATTTGTTTAAATACTAAGCATACATTCAAATGGAAACTGATCCGGAATGATTTTTTAGATGTAATGATATTTAAACTTTCAACATCTTAAATTTGTACTTTAAAAATGCTTCAAATTTTCAATATTTTAAATTTTATGCTGTCATAACTTCATGTTTGAATGCATTCACGAATGACCGTAACTGCAACTTTAAAGGAATATCGAAAGTACTTGAGACATACAGTAATTTTGAAAGCTTATGTTGAAAATTCACTTACCGTTTGCAATGAGTGGATGTCGTAGTTCTTCAATTTCCGGAAAGTTCTATTTTTCAGGAGAAAAAAAAAGGGATGAGGAGAACAACGAAATGTATATCTAAACCGGTAGAAATAACTGGTTAAGATTGAATAAAGGATCCAATTTAAACTTTTCTTGCTGTTTTTAAATTTCTCATAATCCTCATAAGTTCTTTGTTTCCGCTTGTTTTACATGGAAAACCATTTTACAATTCCATTATTAACTGATTAGGGAATATGCAAATTTGCAAATAATCTTTTATAAAGATGGATCATTTGTCGACTACATT